TGCTAAATATTCAAAATCTGCAGCAAGCTTCTGCAGCCTGAAAATCTTTCTCTGAAGTGATTGTAAAGTCAGGGCTGAAGGGGATCCATGATAGCTTGGTCAGGAATGACACTTTTATCTGGCAGGGATGTCTGGTTTGAACCACTCGAAATTGGACACTCCAGAGTCTGTGGTATAACCACAGCTGGTCAGGGGAGAACTCAAGGCAGCAAAGAATGCAGAGTTCCACATTCCTTTATCTCCCAGGATCCAAGTTTGTGCACTGCCAAGGACCAGGAACCCTTAGGGTGCCATCTCCTGTGTTCAAGCCGCATATCAGACTTATCAGAGTTTTCTGATGTTATATGTTCAAGAAAAACATCTAAGAGGGAAGCTGGCTCAGTAATTATCTTACCTGTTCTTAATGTCTACAGCTAGAAATTCTCCAGTCTTTATTTTTTATTTTGTTATCTGTTAACTGAATTAATCTCTTATTCCAAAATAAATTCCATTTCCTCTCATATTTTCTTAAAACAACATTTATGAAACAAATTTTACTTTCTCTTTGGAAATTTTTTCTTATCTGACCAAAGTGATAGGGTGAAAGGAGGAAATCATTCACATCATGAGTTGTGCAGTGGTCTGTCTGTCAAAGTCCTTGGGAACCCTTTAAAGCTAGTGGCAATTGTGCCTCCCTCCACTCAGGAATCACTAAAGCAGATTTAGAAAACGTGGGCGCATTGGAGCATATTTATTCCTATGCCTACTATTTTCCTGTGCAGAAGTGATTTTATGTGCTGAATTTATTCCTACTGTGCAACAAGTTCTTCCACACATTGGGATATTTCTGCTTCATGGGTCTGTTACCCAGCATTTCAATTATACCATTGTTTTTCTAGTTGCCACTAATTCAGCCTGGTAAGGAGCAAACTCTAGAACTCTGGTATTGAATTAATTTCTTTGGATCCTGAGGTTGAGTGCTGTGTTGTCCTTGATAGCAGCTTGTTAAATGTAAATGGAAATGTAAACAATGTGTGGAATGTTTTATGGCACCTGAGTCCTTCTCGGTTTCCCAGAATAATGGGGATGCTTGAAGTTTTCACCTTTTAAATGGGGACCTGAATTTGGGGATCTCCTGAAACCAAAAAGTTTGAAGCCTCTAACTGGCTGAGTGGCTCTGTTTTTTCTCCTGGTTTCTGTTCCAGGAGAAACAGGATCTGATCCCTTGAACTAGAGTATTCATGTGAAGAATATTGGAGTATTTATGTGTTTTGTTCCCTGACTATTCAGGCCCAATCTCTTGTGTGGAGGGGACCAACCCACTCTCCACAGACCTAATCCCAGAGAAGTATCAAGGATACACGATTTCTTGCAATGCTGATACATATGTAAAGAACTAGAACTGGTTTTGGTTGAGGTACAAAGCACAATTTGAAATGCCAAGGTTTTTGGTTAAATTTCAAATGACTCGTGAATAACTCAGTGATTTGAACTACAGAAATAGCTGGAATCAAGACAAATAGGTGTTAATAAAGTGCTCCTTTAAAATGAGTCTTATTTTTGCGGTACAATGGAACGGCAGAATAAACTTAGACTGATTTATTTTAAGCAACAATCTTGAGGGGAGGTTGTTTTGTTTTGATTTGATTTTTCATGCAAGGAAGGGTTTGAAATGATTTCTTAGGAAAAATTTCAGCTCACATGGAAATGTTTTGTTAAGTTATGCTGCGCTTGAATTTTTTTCCTAATCATCGAAAGCTGTGTCAGAATTTTGTTAGAAAATTTCCGGGTAAGAATGTTTTTAAAGTAGCTTTCGTAATACTGACTGGTCACAGTTCCTTTAAAAGTAGGCAGAGTCCATGGAGCTATTCCTGTTTCCAAAATAGTTGGCGTTCAACCATCCAGCTTGTACAATTTGATAGAATTAGTGACTGTATGTCAAAATCTTGGGGAGCTTTGTTGAAAATAGGCATATTATAGCTAATTAAAATTTTCCTTTCCACCTCTTAGTTTCACAGATTAGGCATCAAAATATATTTGGAAATCATTAACTTTAGTTTGCCCTTTAACTTGCTTTCTTTTGTCTTGAAAACTCATTCCTTTTACTAAAGCATCTAAATGCCTAGGAGGACAACTGTGACCTTTAAAGTGAAGAAAGAAAGATTACTGCACTTAGCTTGTTGTGAATTTATTTTGTTGGTTTTTCTCTTTTTTTATTTTAAGGCCATTCAGAACATCAGTGTAGGTGGGTGGGTTTTTTTCCAACTAAATGTGCACTTAAAACACTTTAGATAATTCTGAAATGTACTTAAAGGAAAATTACGTTCTCTACTGTGTCTCTAGTATTTAGATTCTTCCCCGGAACAAATGACATTGTTAGCTTCTCTGAAAACTTGTTTTTCATTTTTAAACATATTCTTCTTTTAGATAAATCATCAAAGGTAGACATTTTAGCAACGCCTTTTCCTTTTGGTTTGTTTGTGATTTGTTTTTTCTTTCCTTACACACACTTACTTCATGCGCTCTTCCAACCCACATTTTGTTTGTCTTTGGCACTGAGACTCTCTTACATAATTTCTCAAAAATACAACAGTGTTCAGCTATAGTAGTCCAAAAGGGTACAGCCTGCATTTTTGCAGAGGTTTGGGATGATCACAGTAGAATGGTGTATTGTTTCTGATAGGGCCTGTTTTCGGAGGTTTCTTGAATGCCTGTTTCTCTGCCCTTGGCCTCTTCTCAAGTTTCTAATAAACAGGGCTCAACAAGGGAGTGGGTGGCACAACTTTAGCTTGTGCCACTTCTCAAACACAGCACTTCAGTTTCTTTGAGGAGATGAGCTTTAGGAAAAGAACGCTCTGTGCGTACCACAGCTGCCATCCTTTGTTAGTTTCTCTTTACATGGTCGGTAATTGGTATTGTATATTTTTATGTAATAAGTTAGCATTAACCTAAAATAAGCTCAGTACAGTTAATTCCAGAAGCATTCACACCAGAGTAAATGAGGAATGATTCCTTGTAGGTCAGTGCATCTGCTGCACTCTTTGTAAGGGGAGAACCCAGCCCACTAGAACAAGGTGCAAACTTATTTTAGAGCACTGGTTTTGAACTAATGGATATTCAGCCTTGCAGCTGGATTTTAGGTAAAGTGCATGAAAGATTCAGCTCCTGAATAGTTAACTTCTACTGTTTGGAGTAGATATCAGCTGTCTCTGGGTGCAAATAACTGTGAGACAGGCCACTGAATGTGCACAGTTGCAATATGATCTTGAGTTTTGAAGCATAACTCTCTGTTTGTGACTTGTCCTCTCTCAGTCTCTTTTGAGTATGCATGTTAAGCTGTATGTTTGCTTACATGTATAGATACAAGGCTTTAGGAATAGATACATATCTTTGACTTTCCCTAGCAGTAGGAGTTCACTTTTTCTGTTGGCTTGGAGCTATACAGTGTTGCCTGTGCTGTACACTTCTGTGGCTGGAAGTGTGAAAACACTGAAGTCAGGTGAAGTTTTTATCAGGAGGTGTGTCTGTGGTTGTATTGGTACCAGCAATTTGATTGCTGAGCAGGGATGGAGTGGGCCTGCAGTCATGTGTTGTCCTGTCTGGATCAAGTCCATCTCCTGCCTAATTTCCTCTGACAGGGGCCTGGGCTGCAGGCACATGGACAACAATCAAGGTGTGAGTTATGGTAATATCTAGGAAGCAAAATGCCACTTGCACACCTGAATGTCCCTAAAGTAGCAAACATCCCCAAAGAGGCCAGAGGAGGCATGCCTTGTGTAGTCCCTACTGAACACCTTTGCTTCTGTGGCACTGCATGGTCTCACTGCTGCATTTAGATTGTTGTCCCCTCTCCACCTAACTATAGAATGGGACTCCAGAGAGAGGACACACAACATTCTCTTCTTCACCTGCCACTCCTGCCTGGGAGTTGATTACACTCCAGGCAGATTCAGAGTCTGCCTTTTAAAATGTGGCCATAACAATTGTAGCAGGTATTGACTAACAGACTGTTAGTCCAAGCTCTGGTGCACAGAATCTACTCTAAAATGGCATTTGGTTCCCTACTGCACGTGTAGCAATGCTTTAACAAGTAATAGATTACAGAATGAAGTTTCTGCTGTCTCCCCTGGGAGTCAACTAGGCAAACAATGATTAGGAAATCTTAGCTGATAATTGTTTAAATGTTTTGTTTCTTAATTTCATTTTTTTCCTTGGGCAATTTTTTATTAACCTAAATAGTTCCTTTCATTCCTCAGCGCTTGTGTTTCTCAAGTTTTTGTAAACCACTACCAAGTCTTCCTTTCCCACAGGCATTGCTTATCCTAACTGTTGACTGAAAATCAATCCCCCCATCTAATGACTCTGTCACTGTTCTTTGAACTCTTTCCATTTTACATTATCCATCTGGCAGCAAAACATCCAAAACTGCACGCAGGCTGCAGATGTGGTGGCTCCGTAGCTGCTGAGGCAGGGATCTATTACAAACCATTGTACGTCAGGATTTAGCTGTTTCTGGGATCAGGACTTGGAAAGCAGAGTCATTTGTCTTTAGTTTCTCTGCCCAGAACACCTGGGGGTAACGAGAGACTTGTATCATAAACCTACTGAAGTTGTGTTGTTTTTCTTAACCCTGTACCCTGTTATTTTTTGTTTTGTTTTTATACACCTATAAACACATTTCAAACTCTCATTCTCAGAAATATAAGGCTTTCCAAACCTGGGATCCGACTGCTCTCCCCAGCCTGCTGTCAACAAGTAAAAGCCAGCAGGCTGCTAGGCCAGGCCAGCTGGGATATGTGACAAGGGATCCCTTGCTCTGGTTCCCTGCTCTGCCTCTGCTCTGTCCTGGATTCTGTCGGGGTCAAAATCGAATTGTGATGTGTGACTATCATGCTATCTTCAACTGAAAGAGGAAGATGTGACTGCACACATGGAAATTGAATTTCAGCAAAAGTATTTTAGTTTTCATTTGTGATATCACAAGTTCACAAAATGTTTTTTCCTTCTTTTCAATTTAACAGGTTATCACTGCTGGTTTATCGCCGTTCTTCTTTGTCATGACTGCCAATGTACTAACAATTTCTTGGTAAGTGCCTACATGAGCTTTTTGTTTAACAGTAAAGATGAATTTTCACACAGTGCTTCATGTGGAAATATTTTTAAATGTCAAGTTCTATTGCTGTCAGTGTTATTTTGCATGTAAGGAGAACTAGGTGTGCAATGATGGATGCAGTACAGTAATAGAAAAGTGTTTTTTCTACCTCTGTGGGAGAACATGGACATTTTAGACATTAAGCCTCACCAAAATTCACTCAGCACATTTTACAGTGAGGCAAATGGATCCAATAAGCAAATAAATGACCCATTCAAAGTCATGCTGCAATTTAGTGATGGAACTGGAAGTAAAACACAGGAGTCAAGGTTTGCTGACAGTATCTTTTTAACCAAGAGAGTGAATTCAAGTTTCCCTAACACACTGCGTGCTGTGAATGCATAAAATTAATCTGGAGAAAAATAATGATGATAAACATTTTCCAGAGCTGTATCTGGATTTTGTAATGTATGGCCACACAGTACAAATCACCAAACCTGAATTTTTTAGGTAGTAATATAAAGAATTGGGGTGCAAGCTTCTTTGGTTCAAGGCAGTGTTTTTGGTCTGTGTTTGTGTAGCACACAGTCAAAGGAGCATGGCTGGTGCTCCTAAAGGCTTCTGCCATGCAAATAACTTCTCAATATGGGGTTAGGCTTGTGTCTCTGAGGACAGATTTTTTAATGGAAATAAAAATCTACTTACTTTTGAAAAGCTCTAAGCTTCTTTCTTTCTACTTGATTCATGATTCATTCAGTTTGATTGCCATCCTAAAGATTCAGCTCTGCACTGAATGGAATTAGCATATTCTTTCTTCAGGTGTGATAAGAGCCTTATAGAAAGGAGACTCTCCAGTTCAGACTGGCCCCATTTACTTATGTGTTGATATGGATTCCTGTCTGTATTTTAGGCACATGTAGTCTCAAATGCTAAAGTAAGTTGTGCTTTTTTTTAGCTCTAGGTAATACATGCTGCCTGTGCATGTCAGAGACTTAAGCAATGTCAAAGCAACTACAACACACTCCTAGTCCAGGCCATTAACTTGCTGCTCTTCACTATGTTTTGCATGTGTTTGTGCAGGTCTGTCACATGTGTGCTAGAGGCAGGCTTTGATTATACATCTGTATTCACTGACATCTGCACTAAAAATTCATGTGTACCTTTATTAATGTGCACCTTTGTTAATGTGAGCGCACAGACCCATGTAGTTGCACACATGCCACCTGCCCTATATGGACTGAAACTTCTATAAATGATGAACACATCTGTATGTTTACAAGAAAATTTGCTTTAGCCCTTGGGCCACTGTTACATTTTGATTGTCATAATTAAAAAAGAAAACTATTTCTTTTATTTATATATTTTAAAAATTTTAATTCTGTTAGTGCTTGTGCATTGGCAGTGCCTTGACTTAGCAGCAAAGCTCTGGAAATAGTTTGTTGGATGATAGCAGCTGCAGAGTACTCATGAGAACATTAATCACTGAGGATTTTAGTGCTGCTCCAGTGTGGTCATGGACAATATCATATGTTAATTTTTGAGCTATGGGCAAGTGCAGTTATCTGTCACCCCACTATAAACAGAAGCTGGAGAGTTTGCCACAAGGGAAAATGAAGGTAAAATCAAGGGCTGGCATTTAGCTGTGATTTTTGCTCTGCTTCATCTTGAAGATATAACAATGGTTTCCATTTGCCTAGTAATTTGGACTGCATGGGCATGTGGATCCCAAGATTTCAAGTCCTTCAGAAAGGGATTCTTCTTCTCTGATGTAAGACATATGATATTAAAGAACAGTTCTGGTACAGGCATCTTTTTACAGAACAAGGCTGGGCAGTTTATTATGTTTTGTACATAATTGCCAGTCTCATTTTTGAAATGGTATGTCAGAGACAGATTTATTTTTTAATCTCTGTTAAAAATTTAGAAAACAACACAACTACAGAAACAAGAAAAATATTTCTGAGGTCTTCTGTATGTAGCGTTTTGGAATTTTTTCCTTTAGGGTGAAGGGTATATTATCTAACCATAGATTCCAAAGGAGTTAATGCATAGGGTGTGTTTATAACTGGAGCTGAAATAAGACATGGGGGTTAACCCTCTCCAGAAAAAAGCACTCAGATGTTGTTACCAACTGCAGGTGGCCAGACTCAGTGGTTTAGACCCTTTTTGAAAAGCTTACAGCCCTTGTAGCCTTTTGCTCCTTGTTGGTAATTGCACACCAAAGCTATTCTGTCTTCCCAGTGGACCTTCACAGACTGTCTGTAGCACCTACTTTCCAGGGCTGTTTACCGTGGAATTGTAAGATATTGTGCTGTTGTTATACAATATTTTTTTCCTCTCAGGAACAAGGGCAATTATGTGGTTTTTAAAACAGCTCACCAAAGCTAAGATTTAAATGAATGTAATGCTATTAGACCAAAGAGCCTTCAGCTTTACATGCTTTTTTTTTCCAAAGGAAAAAAAAGTACTCTTAGAAATGAACTTAACAGAAGTTTGTTTTGTTTATAAAGTTCAGTAAGGAGCTTTTCTGTTTCATAAGCTAATTAAGCCATGGGGCTAAGATGAAAGGTCAGTACACTTAGCTTTGCACTGTTCTAAAAGGAGAGAAGAGTCGGCATCTTACCATATTCCTGTCAGCAGTGAGAGATAACAGAGGAGACTTGGGGATTAACTATTGCATGCATTGAGTGGGTTGATAGCATATTTAAGGGAAGGCTTTTGTAAAACCATTCATCCTGACTTGGAACCCTGCTCCTAGGCTGACTCTTAGGGAGCAGCCTTAATGCCAAGGCTGTGCTGAGAGCAGCACAGGAAAGGAGTCCTTGGGCACAGGTGCCTTTTTGGCTGGGGCAGCTCCTTTAACCTCACCAAGAGAGACAAACACAGGAATTTCTACTGCCTCGCTGTGCCAATGGGATCACCCCAGCACAAAAAGGTTTTCCCAGATTTCACCCTGTCCACAAAACCTAGGCTTTACATCTCTTCCTGATGTTGTCAAGTGGCAAGTTTTCAGGACAGAATACAAACAGAAATTGCAAGAGGGAATCAATAGGCTAATAAGGTTCAAACTCTCTTGCCTCCTTTTTCTATTCTTGCTAGTGAAGGGGTGTGCAGCTATTGTAACTAGGGGCAACCTTCTCCATTTAGATTCCTGTCTGTGCATTTTTACTGAATAGCACCAGCCCGAAAACACAGGAAAGGTAATTTCTGATGAGATCATTTAAATAAGATATTTTGGGCTTCAGCATTTTCTTAGTGAGACAAATGAAAAAATCACCTGGGTTACTGTCTCTAGGTTGGAATGTGTTTAGATAAAATAATGCCTTTTTGTATCAAGTAGAAGGACTTGCATGATGCTAAATTTGTGATATACTTTGTTTACAGCCTTGTGGTCGGTGGAGTTGGAGAAGCATTGCTTGTTTACACTGAAAGGACAGGCACATAAAGAGGAACCAGATCTCGCCAGTTGGAACAGAGCTGACTTGCAGCCTAGAGACACTATCATGAAAAAAGTGGCAGCAGGAATGAAGAAGTGCAACCAAACATGAGGAAAGAGATCTATTGTTGTTTTTTTTTAAATTAAGAAAAGAACCTATGCTATTAATAGTGCTGGTAAGGGAGCAGCAGAGTTGGCAGAGATGGTAAGGAGCCTTTGCCTCAAAGCACAAGACCAACTATATCAGATTGATGTGGTAAAGAAAAAACTGCACTGTATCATGCTGATGGCTCTGTGTGAGCACCACTCAGTAGCAGCTTCCTGCACAGGGAGCTAAACTCAGGAATTCCCCACTGGATGCCCCAGTGGCTTTTTTTTTGTTTGAAGCAGACAGCAGGTCATACCAAACAATGTATAAATTCAGGATCTGGAAGGATGGATTTTGCCTCCAACTGTTCTGTAAGCAGCAAGCTGCCACACACAGGTCTCTGGTCATGTTGTCTAAACTGGCACAGGGACTGAGGCCAAAGGGCTTGTGGAGATAATCCCCTTCTGGAACTGTGGCAGTTTGACAGCCTTTCAGAAAGGGAAAATCAGCAATAAATCTCAATATCTGTAGTGATTGCTCTTTGTGAATTTTTTTCTCCCCCATTCGCTGAGATTTCTCTTGAACTCTGCCAGTTTTTGTCAGCTGGAGGGGGTGGAGGGACACGTACTGTTCCCAGCAGTGGTTTGTCTTTTAAATTATTGCAAGGGGAAACAAAGAACATGAACCTTGAATGAATGTCATAAAGAGTGTAAGGAAATTAATCTCAAGTGTTCTTAAGGTAATTTCACTTCTGGTTGCTTAATGGCTGTTAGAAATTAGACTTGATATATTAGAGCCTGCAATCTATGTGAAAGTAATATTAAATGATGAGTTTATATTGTGGGAACGGTCTACATGGTAAAAGGCACTTGATAACAAATCTTCAACGTGGAAAGAGACTCGTCTCACTTGTTGTTAGATATGTAGCGTGCAGTCCCTCAATCTAAGCTGACCAAATTTCCTTCATGGTCAATGGAAAGAGGGTTGCCCTCACAGAGATGATCCTTCTTGAATGGATTGCTATGTTAGGAAGTGCATTTTTCTCTGTAGATAGAAACTGAATTTCTAGTCTAGACAAGACACATGGTTTCTATAGGGCTACAGTTACCGGAGGCTTCAATCTAACAAATTCCACCAGATGGGCTTGAAAATATGGCTACATTTTAATTTCAAATAAAACACCATAGGTTAACAAAGAAGGTAAATTTTACAAATGTTTGCACTCAGTTTCTATGACTGGAGAATTTTAAAAAGAGATTAGTTGGTTTTCATAAAAAAAAAAATTGCTGCAAAGAGAAGCTTAAAAGGTAAGTACTCTGGTCAATATTGTACCTAAGCTGATCTCAGTCTATCACAAAAGGTCTCCTCACATGGGCCTGCTGTCTGTGTATGTTGGGTCCCACTCTGGCTTGAGTTTGGTGTGAGCCATTTTTTAGCCAGGTGGTAAAACTCAAGTTTGAGAAGAAAGGGGGAAGAGAGGGACAAGCATGAAAAAATAAATGCTTGAATTGAGCACTAGTCCAGAAACCAGCGTGAGCCTCATGGGAAGTTGGGCCCATACACCCAGTGAGCCATGACACAGCCAACCATGGGTCCCCATGGCATTCCAGTCTGTAAATTCACAGTGCTGGGAGTGATGGCTGCAGCATTCTGGCTTTCCCCTCAATTCTCTCTGCCAGCCAGTTGTGCCAATGCAGTAGGATCCTTGCTGTGCCACCTCTCTGCTGACTTTGAAGTGAACAGTGACCCTGGGAGACCTCATGGAAGAGTCTCTGCGTGACTGCCGAGGTTTTGCAATCGTAGCTGGAACCCTTGCTGTGGGAAAAGCTCATCTTGTACCTCTCTTCTTGCATAACTTTCAAGGGTAGGCTACAGTCTGGTTTTTTTTCTTCCTCTATCTCGCCTGTGCTGTTCATAGCAACGTGCAGAACACCCATTTGCTTTCTTGCTGGTGGTCTCAGTGGAAAGGCAGAGGCCAAACCAGCAGCCAGGGTTGCAACAGCACTTTGATCAGAGGGCAGCTTGGCATGGCTGCAGGAAGCCTTTTTGGCTGCAACAGGCATTTCTGGGGGAATTCTGGGCCTGCAGATACTGCATTAGAATCCTCCTGCACAGTAAGGCAGCTTTATTTAACTCACGCATGTTAAACAACACTGAACTGTTTTAACTTCTCCTTGCATTTTTTGTGTCTTGCATTTCTGAGACTCTGCTTGAGGTGAGTAAAAAGCAGAGGTTTTTACCTCTGGTTTTTACCTCAGGTTTAAACTGATTGCTACATAGGCAAATCAAAGAACCACAGTGAGCAGTGGAGTTGGGCTCCTCTGTCAAACATGCAGAGCAGCATGAAGCTCATCAGTCTTGCTGAAAACTCAGATTAGGGTGGAAATAGAGCTCAGTGGCCTTCAAAATCCATCTTTGCATATTTGGACTTGTTTTAAGGTGTTGAAGGCACGGCTTGGCATCCTTCTTTCTCAGGCAGGGGAGCCAGCAGGGCCAGGTTCCAGTGTGGCATCTGGCCTCTGGGAGAGTCCTGTAAGCCAAGGGCTGTTCAGTGCTGCTCACAGTGAGCTGTCAAAGGGTCAGCCTGTGATGGGGCTAAGAGTGGTGGGGAGAGAGCCCTTGGGGGACTTCTGGCTGTTGGAGCAAGTGGTGCCTTTCTCAACACATGTGTGCTGAGTTGGGAATGCCAGCCTGGAGCTGGTCACCAGCAGCAGTTGCAAAGCCCCAAGATGGCATCTCAGCTGCCAGAGCAGAGCAGGTCATACAAACCTAAAGGTCAGCTCTGGAATAGCACCAAGAAGACCCTGGCTCTCCACCACTGCCCTTGGGAAGGTGTATGTTCCCACCAGTGGCACCCAAGACAGCAGAGACACAGAGCTGGTTGGGCTCCCTGGTCCTCACAGCCCTGGGTGAGCAGGCAGTGGCAGCAGAGGAGAAATGTGGGCAGGGCAGGGCAGGCACTACTGGCTGCTTGCAGAGGTTGGGCACTGGAGGGGATGGGGTAGAGCAAACCTGGTGATTTCCTGAGAAAGCAGTGCCCTGGTCTTTCATTCAGCTCTCCACAGAAAGAGGGATGCTGCATAATAAAGAACACACTTCAGGGTTAAGTGATCTTCAAAGCAGGAAACCTCAGAAGCTCAAGCTTAAAATGGCTCTTGCAGGATTCATGACAGTTATGTTAGGTAATTTGAAGCAGGAACATGCAAGGTTGGACCATTTCTATCTAATTGACCTTTTTTGAGTCAGTCAAAAATGTAAAGTGCTGAACACACAGATCTGAGGAAGGAGGAGCTCCTTTAGTTTGCAGAGAAGCAACGACACTGATTCCTGCCTGAGTGCAAAGCAGTGGGTCTGCAGCTCAGCTGATACAAAACACTCCACATTGATTGGTGTCCAGCATTTAAGGAATTCACTGTTCTTGGGTTGTCAACACGTGAGACTACAGAGAAAAAATGGAGTGTGCTGGTCTTTCTAAAAGGCAGCTGGAGGCTGTCCCATCATGCCCTTTTCACATCTACTGGTTTTGATCAAATCACTGACAGAGATGGTCCTGAATCCTGTCATACCCTTTTGATCCTACCTGGCTTACACCTATTTTCCAAGTGTCTTTTTTTTTCTTACCAAGTAATTGGGACAAAGCTTTTGTTATCCACTGCAGTGGCATGACTCATGCATGTGGCTGGCCTTCATCACAGAGAGCATCTGCTTAAACCAAGTGCCATCAAAAGAAGACTTGAAGAGTAAAGCTGCTGGATATGGACTACAAGTGGATTACAAAAATGCAGGCCACAGGGATTCTGTTTTGAAACAATCTTCTGGATCTGGTGGCTGTAACATAGATTCCAGCAGAAAATGTTATTAAATTAATTAAATGAACCTGATACTTAACACTGAAGTGAATCTTTTATTGCTTATTGCTATGTTGTGTTGGCAGAGAATTTATGCCAGCCCCTTTCAATAGAAGCTGAAAATTTGAAGAGCAAGTAATCTTAGCAAAAAGCAATAGGAAAACTTTTAAAATTCTTTTTAAAGAAGCTCTGTACCTGTTAATATATTTGGTAAGGGATAGAATTCTGATTTACTGTTACTCTTTGTAACACCTGTATCTGAGTTGGTGGATGAGTATATATACATATATATATATATATATATATATATATATATATATATATATACACACATATGTTCCTTTCCCACCCTCAAACAAGATCTAAAGAATTCAAGAAATGTGATGTCAACATAGCATAAGCTTTGAAAACGATGCTTTATTAAGTATTATAGAAAAGTTAGTTGCTGGGAGCTGTACTGAGTGCTGAGGAAAGGTTTTCTCAATCTCCTGTAAGCTAAAGGAGATGATGGGTTGAAGAAAACTCCATGGCGAATTTGCCTTGCCCAGAGCTGAATGAACAGCTTTCAAACAGCTCATCTGCTGCTGTGAACCCAGCAACAGGCTCAGTGTGAAACTTTAATCCTGTTCCAGAGGATAGACACAGGGACAGGCTCATTTGGTTTGAAAAGAAGGCGTGGGTGAGGGGAAGGAGATTGGGGCCAGGACTAAAACAAATTGAGGCTGGTATACTTTTGTACAAGGAGATAAAATGGGATGAGATTTGCTTCTGAAAATGTGTTTCTTATTCATAGCTTTGGAGGGGGGGGGGGCTGGGGCTTTTCTTTGTGGGCTTGTTGTTTTGCTTTGTAAAAATTAGGGTGTATTATAAATTCATGTCTGTTTAGTCCCAAAAAGGAATTAGAGGAGCCTATGAAGGTTGTGTAACTATTTCCATATTATTTGCCTGGTTTGGGAAGCTTAGCCCTTTTTTTAACTAAAGTGTCCATGTGTAAGCCTTGCTTTCTTCTGGAAAACGGACTGGTTCTTGTAATAATGCTGGGAAAAAAGTTGTGCTCTCTTCTTGATCACCAAGATGGGGAATCTTCAGTATCTATGATGGGAAGGAGTCACACTACTCTCCTACCTTTTAATTATTGCCTTGGCTTCCACAGTAGGTGGGAGTAGCCAGCCAGCATGTTAAGTTCTTGATTTGGTGGTATGCAAAACCCCTTTGAAAGCCACACCGGGAGCATGATTAGTAAATTTTGTCTTTTGTTCTGTCATTAAGATTTACAAACATATAGCCCAGGACTTGTTCAGCTGTGAACTTGCTGCCCCTATAGGGAAGGCAGTAATGGAAGAATATTGTGACATGGGTGTGTCTCTCTCTGTGCCCTTGCCAGGCAATGGGTGAGATCCCAGAACTGCACTCACAGCTGTGGCTGTGGGAAACCCTGTGACTGCTTGAGCTTTTCTGCTTCCTGTTTGCCATCAGCAGTCCTGTACCTTTGAGGACTCCTGACAAACATGGCTTTCAGAGGGAGGAAAACTTGCACATTCATAGGTGAGGCTGGTGAAGAAGTGGTTGCTCTACCCTAAGATTCATGTTGGTTCAAGTACTTGAGGGGCAGTACAGCTTGGGAATCAAAGGCCAGGCCCATTTTCCTGTAGGAGTTTGATCCCTGTTTACACTCAAACTTCAGATTTCTGTACCGCTGCCCATGGGGAAGGCTGGTGCACCAACAAGTTTGTTTATGCTGCAGTTGCAGGCAAACAGTGCCTTGTGATACTGTGTGAGAACAGCACCTGCCTGGAGCAAGCTGGCTGAATAAAACAACCAGCACAGCCCTTTTGAAACTGATAAGGAGAAGGGTTGATGTTGTTTGCAGGAAATGGTTATTCAGATTGAATCTGGGTCATTAGGCAATGAAGATGGAAAGTGGAGAGCTGGGAACGCTGTTTGCCATGCATAAGCACAGAAGAAGTATCACTGACACCAGTTAGACTAACAAGAGGGCTGGAGTTTCTGCTAAAAGGA